CCCCCCCCCCCCCCCCCCCCAAAAAAAAAAAAACCTAATGTTATATATCTATAAATAATGGGCCAATAAACATTTGACATTCGTGCTGTTACATGAGCTGGATGCGGAGCAGGAACCGCTAACTCGTATTTGACGGTTGGCTATATTATAGTTTTGATTGCCGATTAAGAAATCAACTGCTAATTTATTACTAAACTGTCACTAATTGTATGATCTCATCCCTTAAATCATTAATCAAGGTTATCACAACAATTTCTTTATGATGTGATGCGTGATTATGTTACACTTTGTTTTTCTGATTATTATTGTTTCACCTGCAACTGGAGTTGTTTAATCAATGTACAAGATAGGCCCAAACGAGTAAATTCAAAGAAACTTTAAATACAACAAAGAAATGGAACATCATAATGAAAAAAAGGTGTTTTTTATTCCTTTTTGTATGAAGGCAATATAACCACTGAGGTCTAAACCAGAGCCATCCTAAAATCGGAAATGTTTGCTACATATGTCTTCGAAAATGACTTTTTTCAGTACTTTTTTTTTATATTTATTCAGTAATTTTGTTAAATTTTTGCTTTTGTCCGAAAAATTAATTATTGATTTCCATCTTTCAAAGGTGGGAAAAAAAGTATTTTATGTGTCTATTTTATATCCCACGAAATTTGAAATAAAAAGTGAGTTCAAATTAAAGAACGAAATGAATCACTAATAACGTCCGTGTTCCACTTCCAACTAAACCTCACACCATAATCTGCAGCACTCTGTAGGGATAGAGTTAGTTTGGAGCAAACTGCAGATTTAAATATCTTAAATTTGACTCTCACTAATCAATTTCGAATTAAACTAATATTGTAGTTAATGAATGATTGCAAATATTCAAGATTTATTCTACAAGAGTTGGTCACCTTAAAGAGATTACTCTGTTAAAACAATAATAATATCTGTTGTGCTGCATACATCAAATTATCCTCGAAAGTTGATATTGTTTACAGAATGTTTAATGTTGCTAGGACTTTTTTTGAAAGGGCACCCAACTAATTTGCTGTGTCTTGTCTGTATACAAGTGAGGCTCAATATAAAAGTACATAAATAATGTAAGCAACTATGATGTTATTGCCTAATTGCTATGCACGTCTATAATAAATTCAACAAATTACACCAATGCCTATCTGTCCATTTTGACAGCCCAAATTAAAACCCCTCCCCCACAAATTCCATCAACTCTTCCCGGCAGCCGTCTTCTCTTTCGCCGGCTGGAAAATTATACATACACATGTAAATTCACGTCCCCACGCGCAAGGATGAGACTAGTTGAGCACTGATATATTCACCAGCAGCGTCTACATCATGGATCATAGATTCAACCACCATCCATTATTAGTCCATGAGCAAGAAGACTCCCCCACCACTCCAGAAAATGCTGCTGAATCTCCACTCTCCGGCGATGACACGACGAAAACCGACACCCCGTCACCGAGAAAAAGGTTTGCTCGTAAAATTTGCCAAGTTTAAGGACTTGTGTCACTTTCCACAAGAGTGTTTATGGATTTGAATTTATGTGAATGCTCTCTTATTTTTCTTCTTCTTTATTTTTTATTTTTTGGTGTGCAGCAGCAGGAGTGTCAAAAAGAGGGTGGTGTCCATTCCAATAGGTGGCCTGGATGGCTCACGGGGCAAAGGGGAGGCATATCCGCCGTCGGATTCTTGGTCTTGGAGGAAGTATGGACAGAAGCCCATCAAAGGGTCTCCTCATCCCAGGTACATCACTACTCCAAAATCCCCCCCTAATTTACTTTCATTTCAAACAGTTCATTAGCTGTTCTTAATCAAAATATCATTATTAGGTTTTTGAACTTAAAAAAAAAAATAAAAAATAAGTGCAGTATCTGTTTTTATTAAGCAACTTTTCTTGTAAATTCTCTTCAAAAAACTTATCCCCTTTTCTTATAAAATCTTTTTTATTGTCTTCAACTTCCGTGGTATCAAAGCCGGATTCCCCCTCTTCTTATTGGCCTTGGGAACCATCTCCACTTACTAAATGTTGAAGAATGCCAATAATGACCCTTATTATCTTGAATTTTTTAAGACAGATTTTGTGGAATATCTTTTCTGATTAAGTTTTTTTTTTTTTTTATATAATATATAATTGTTCTCAAATGCACCCATCAACTGAATAATATTCAGGTAAAATAATTGCTTTTTTGAATTTAATTTAAATCTGCTAAACGGGACCACATGCCTAACTCAGCACCTCAACCTACAATAAAGAAGTTGTTTCTTGTAGTTGCCGCCGGGAGAGAGAGGGTTCCGGGCAAGGTTGTGTTGGTTGTTGTTGTACACACACCGGCGTATTTTAGTATCTAGGCGGCTCGGCTAAAATAAACCGAATGGATGTAGTTGTTAGCGTTGTGCTCCATTCCCACGCGCTAATCAATCGTGCGCGAAACGCGCTCTGTATGGGTGCAGTTTGCACTTTAAGACTTTGGAGTCTGGTTGGTTTTAAATCAAACCTGTGCATGTTCTAGAATAGAGGCGCCGATGTTTTCAAGATTTGTGTCCTTGTGGTACCTTTGAATGGCCGAAGTCAAAGGCTGCTTTTTCACGTTATCGGCAGTGCATTACCTTGAAAATTTTTAAAAATAATATTATTGAAATTTAATTTTGAAAGAATTATATCTAAATTTTTTAAAATTTATCGCTTGGTCACTTAAATTCCCTAACATTTTAAATATTATATATAGACAATATAAGGTTTGTACGTATATAACATTTAGACTCTTATCGTCAATGTTAATTAGTATATCTGTTAATAAATTATACTCAGACTCCCTAAAATTTGTAGATGCGTAACACTTATACACCTTATTAGTACAAAATTAACAAAATCTATTAAATAAAAAAATTACTCCAATTAAATATAGAAGATATTGTATTCATTACAATTTAGCACCTTATTTAATTTTTTAATTTAATTTTAATAAATAGTAAAATTATATACTAATTATGACTTTTTTTTAAAAAAAAATAGATTTTTATTTTTGATTTTATTTTAAGAAATGACATAATAGAAAGTAAATTTTAGTTGTAAAATTTAAAATATTTGATATTCTATATTTGATTGTAGTATTTTTAGTTTAAGTATAATATTTTAAACTTGAAGGGTCTAAATATTATATATTTATAAATTTCAAGGGTCTAGGTATAATTTATTAATAGATATACTAACAAACATTGACGGCAGATATATAAGTGTTAAGCGTGCACAAACCTTTGGGTAATATTTTAAATGTCAAGGGTTTTAAGCGATTAAGTAACAAATCTTATGAGGTCTAAGTTTAATTCTCTCTTTTATTTATTAACATAATTTATGATATCAGTTAAAAAAGTGAAAAAGCTGTTTCAATTAACCCATCATCATCCTCTCAATTTTTCTTTTTTTTCAGATTTCTTTACTTTTTAGTCAATTGCATTTAATTATTGGACACCATTTTGAATTCACTTGATGATCTCAGCATTACTAATGCCTTAAATTATAATTATATCCTTAAAATATGTACCTAATTCTTATTTAGCTCTTGAATTTTTAATTAAAACAATCATGTTCTTAGAGTTTTATTGAGTTTTAATTTAGTCTTTACATCAAAATTCACCAATTTATTATGATGAAATGATTTTCCGTGGTCAACACATAACTTGGGTAAAATTATACATTTGTCTGGTGAAAATCTGTTACATGTACGCTAAAATTTTTACTTTATTTTCATTTGATTTTGAGGATATAAAAAAATATAGAGTGCTAATTTAAGAAATATCGTAACACATAAATATCGATGCATTTGAGAAAATTTTATTTTTTTGTCGGACAAATATACATTTATGGGTAAGTCATTTGATCTCTTTCTATGAGACCAAATTAATATATCTAGACAGAAGGATTGGATTGTAACTTGATTAAAACTTTAAGGATATAATTATATCAGTTGATACTTTAAGGACCAAATATCAATTATGTTCATACTTTAAGGGTATAAATTATCCCTAAATCAACTAATTGCACTAGTTAGTTACCAATCATCTTTTTTCTCCCAATTTAGAAGTGAATTAGTTAATCTTTATTAAAGGCAATACTTTGTTTCTTATTCTTCTCTGTGTTTTTTTTTTTGTTTTATTTATCTTTTTGACTTCTCGTCATCTCTTCTTCGTGCATTTTCCCATGCGTTAAAGAATATGTTCACAATAATAGTTAATTGTTGAACTTAATTGTTCATTGTAATAATAATAATAATAATAATAATAATATATCAGTGTATACACAAAATTGATCTGCAATAGGAAAAATTAATAATGGAACCTTTGAATCAAGAGAATCCAAATCCGTTAATCTTGCAAGCTTGATCTTGTATAGAATGTGGTATTGGCCCTTGAACTTGAATCCTTGTTAGGAAGAAGAAGAATAGGATACTCTTGAGAAAAACGAACGAACAAACATCACTTTCTACCTACAAAACGAGCAAATTGTCGGGGATAGGGGATGGATGTGTCGGAGGCACGATTAGTAAGGATTCTAAGAATAAACAAAATAATTCCAAAGGAAAATAGTGTATACCTTAGATTTAAACTTCTCCCTATATTTATAGTGATCTATACCTTCTTATAGGGTTCTGCTATTGGCAATGCAAGGTGGCACACCTTTATTTTAGTTGAATCCTTTGCCATTTGCATTGAAGTCTCCTTAGGTTTCCTTTCTAGTTCACCTATTATTTTGGCCAAGTTTATTTTGTTCACCTATAACTTAGGCAATTTACTGATCGGTTTTGCATTTGTCTCTGATTTCCCGAGATAGCCTAGCTATCTCCGGTTAGGTTTCATCTTTAGCGAAGTCAACCTTATGGTTTCCAACTTCCTTACTTAGTTCGGCCCATTGCTCGACTACCCAAACAACTTCACCAAATGCTCAGGCTCGGTTCAAATTTATTAGGTAAATCGGCCTACTTCTGAATCACCCAAACCACTGTTCTGTCAAGCAACTCTCTGTCTATCAAAGCCTGTTTCGTCATGTGTACATCGTAGGCACGTGTTCGCTATCATGTGCTCTTCTTAGTCACGTGCCAACGCCTATTGGAATCATTAAATGATCTAATTATGTGCTGTCATTTTGTGTTCCTTCAGTTAATATGCTTAATCCACTTAATGTGTTTTTTGTGACACCATCATAACTAAGATTTTAAATGTTTGATTACTAAAAAAGTTTTTTCTTGAGAAAACAACTAATTACCCTATTTTAACCACTTGTTAAGTAATACATTCAAAAAAGAATGTAGCCTCATTATATTATTCAATATCTCAATTTCAGACATTTCTTATATGTGTCTTGTGTGTTTACACGACAAAAGGCAATTTTATGTGTGTGTGTGTGTGTGTATAGTGATTACTGTCTATTTTGTTCGGTATAAAACACTACAAGAATTTTTTTTTTATGACCTTAAAGTAATGTCATAAAAAATTTATTTGTCACTGTAAATATTTAAAACTCATTTTTTGTGACGGTGAAGACAATTGTCACAAAAAATTTATCTAAAAGAAACCCTAATTCTTTTAGTGATATATGACTATCATCTAATTTTGTGTAACCTTTGGTAAAAATAGTGAAAGTGGAGCTAATTTGTGCCTTAATAATATTTTTTAGTCTGGACTTTTATATTTTGTTTGTTATAATAAAAAAATAGAAGAGTAAAAAACTGGAAGGATAGATAAAACATAATACTTAGCAAAGAAGAAAAATAGGAAGAATTAAAAAGTGGATTAACATTCTTTCCAAGTCACTAAAATCTATCTCAATTGAAAGAAAAAGTGGTTAAAAAATTAATTATGTGTGTTGAAATATATATTATTTATCTTTATATATTTTAATAAATACATATATCCTATTTATTTATTACATATTATGTACATATTAATTTCATATATAGATATAATCATAAAATATGAATCTATGTCTTTTCAATCATTTGATTTTTTTACCCTATTAAATCAATACTTCTTACTTTTCATCCTTCATGCGAAATACAAATTAAGGAAGGAAGAAAAGATTAATCATTTAAATGACAGAAAATATAACACTCTTACTTTCTATTCTTCCCATTTTTTTTTTATCTACACTATCAAACACACCATTAATTTTTTCATGGGATTAAATATTTGAGTGGCCTTCTTTGAATGATTTGAACTGTTAGAGGCTTAAACTTTTGGTGTGAACTATATTGTAGAAATATATAAAATGAGGTTTTTTTTGTCGATGGAGCTTAAAACAATTGCTTTGGTGTGTTACATTGAGGAAAAATAATAATATGGGGACTTAATTAATTATAGTTAGATTGAAAATTAAAATAGATCTCATCTACCATTAGAATACAAAAATAATCCAATGACTACAATGAATTAATTTGCCAAATTTAAATTAAAGTCCAATTAATCGTGCAAGTGACAGGGGATATTATCCAATTAATTTTCCACATAATTTTTTTTTTTTTTGGAACTGTAATATGTTGCATATATGACAGGGGATATTATCGATGTAGTAGCTCAAAGGGATGCCCAGCCAGAAAACAAGTAGAAAGGAGCCACCTAGACCCAACCGTGCTGCTCATTACCTACTCCTATGACCACAACCATCCAGCCCTACCACTCACCAAACACCACCACCACCACCACCCCACCACTTCCTCCACCACCACCATTCCGACCAAATTACCTCCAGAAGAATTCGCAGCCTTTGCTAATCAACCCGACCTAGAACCCGACAACCACTTTGCACACTTCCCCGGCGAGCTCGGTTGGTTTTCCGACGTGGGGTCCACCATACTTGAGAGCCCGGTGTTTGTGGGACCCACATGCAGCGATGCTGACGTGGCAATAGTGCTACCTATTGGAGAAGAGGATGAACCCTTGTTTGGTGACCTTGGGGAGTTGCCAGAGTGTTCCGTGGTTTTCCGGCGAAGAGTAGAGACACCCTTTTCTGGTAGTACAGGATAAGAATGTGGACCTTTTCTTTTCTCCATTGTACTGAATATTCAACACTGGATTAAATATATTCAACACGATTACGTTCCCTACTACATAAGAAAAGGGAACACTTTTTTTTTTTAAAAAAAAAAGGGGTTAATAAGAGAAGATTTCTAAAATAAGTAAAAAAAAAATTAGGTATAACTGTTACGTGAAGTCAACGGTATCACGTAATGTAACTGTACATTAATAAATAAACAAGTTTACAAGTCAACCATACAAAAATTCATAATCATTTAGTCATGTGATAAATAACCACTTTTATGATAGGAAATGAGTTTTATTTTATTTATTTTATAATTTTTTTATTAAATAGTTGTACCACGTATCGTTACTGCTGACCTTGTGGAACCGTTACTCTTAATATTTACTCAGACTTTAGAACATATATTTTTTTTTGTCTTTTTTTAGAGCTGTCTTCATTTCACCGTAAAGATTTTAAAAAAATTAGAAAAAATTCAAAAAAAAATTGTCTTTTTTTTCGTAAAATCTATCTCTAACGTATGACTAAATATTTTGCACGGGTCAAGTTTCCTTATGGTGCTCTTTCTTAATTATAACTAAAGATAATCCGTGCCTGAAGGTACGATTGGATCACACAAATCAAACATTGAATTTAATAGCGGAAAAATTAAGCACTGAACTCGGACACGTACTAAACTAAAAATTTAAACTTGTCTTATATCATGTTTCTGAATACAATGTACATAATTTTTAAACACGAAATAATTAAACAATAAATATAAACATGTATTAAGCTGAAAATTGTTTGGTCATTTTTAATGTCATGACTTTAGTGAAATAAAAATAGTCAAATTGTAGATACTCTGTCAAATTTTTGACAAAATATCTTCTAAAAATATGATGCCACAAATATATCAACATGTCTACAACACTTATATATATATATATCATAATCATAATCATAATCAAATCTTGTCATATGCACACTAAAATTCAATTATGTACCAATTACCACAACACCATTCTTTTTAAATGCAAAATTTTGATAGTTCAATGAAAAAATCAGACAAAACTCAATGAGACACGAAAATGAGAAATGAAAAAGTAAAATATAGTTTACTTTTTCATCTTAAGTACAGTCTCCATTGTGACTTGCACATGCTGTAAGAGACTATAATAAAAAATAACAAATTGAGTTCTTTAGACAACTAATTTCAAACCAAACCTATTAAAATTACAATTATATCACCTACACATATCGATCAGAAGCTTAGATAGATTTCCAATACATATTGCCAAACCGGCAAACACAAATGGCTAAAAACTTTTTTAACATGAATATCTTGTCACATGCACACTGAAGTCCGGCGTCTCTTCTTTACAGTTTCGGCCGCAATGTCCTATAAGTGAGTCAAAATCCATTAGACCAGATGAGTAAGGCAAAGATACATTGAGCACAGCAAACACATAAACAAATAAAGGAATTACAGAAGAAAGCAAATTAACAGGAAAAAAGCAGTAAAATTATAATTCACCTTCTTATGACGTTTCCTGTACATAGCAGTCCAGGTTGGCTTCAAGCGGTTGTGGAAGTACCTCTTGCATTTTGAATTGGCGAAGAGGAAGACCTTCAATTAAAAACACGGTCAGTATAATTATCGTGCACAAAAAAGATTGACAAGGAAACTAAAAAACCTGTCTACAGCACAACAGACAGAATTAAAAACAAACACCACAAATGAATAACTAAACTCCCAAACTCACTATCACTATTTCAAAATCGAACATCGTGAAGGCAATTAACATAACTCACCTGCGAGTCTGAGCAAACAAATCTGATGCCTTTGCCAGGGTATATCTTGGTACCGCTGAAGCGGCAGAGTTCAGTCCTGACGAGCCATTAAGTACTGAATTAATCAGCTCTTCATTCAAAACACAGTATTCATGAAAATCAAGCAGTGTTTCAAATTGGAAAATGCCTATATTGCATTGGAATAACCCGTGCATAAAGGCACTATGCAATTCAAAAAAAAAAATATCGAGCACTGAACTCAAAGGCGTATTAGTCCACCCAAAGAAAATCAAGGAGATATTGAAGTGCCTAATACTTAACTCAGGAGAAGATATATCTGAAAAGTGAAAACAAAAAAAAGTAGTATATTCTTTTCTCAAATTTTGCAAAAGTGTTTGCTTATGTGTGGCCTGCATGTGATATAGGTAAAATCCACTCATAATACATTGGGGTTCGTGATGTTTGATGCATAATTACATCAGATCATGCAAATCAAGGATGAAGGTTTAGCTTTTTGTTTTGGGTCAGCAGGTCATGGTTCGGTTTCAACACCAATAAAATTGATAATTTGTTATAGACATACTTATGCGTACGCATATCATTATATTATACAGGACAAATTTGTTGTTTAGGACAACTCAACTAAGCATGCATATGCAGATATCCACACCCTGATCAGAAAAGTTAAGTAGATAGTTTTGTTTGTGTAAAAGATGATGTAGCAAATATACAATGTTATCAGCATTCTTCATAAGCAAATATACAGATTATGAGATATCCCTAGAAAAGAAAAACTCGATACAACCCATACAACTCAGCATCTTCAGTACGCATATATGCACCAAGAGGCCATACATATCGAGTTGTCTGTTCTTACAGCTTTGAAACAGGAAAACCTGGGACGGATTAAAATGTTTGTGCATAAGACAATCTTCTAATATATTGCGTGCCAAGATTGGAGAGCTCAAATAAATTTTAAGAAAAAATTACCCAAGGCTTTTGAATTGACAATGCTTGGGCATGCTACAGGTGGTGGAGATTTCTCATTCATGAATGGCTCTACACGATTTGGAGCACCCCAAACCGGGTATCCTTTAGCTTTTCCCTGTATAGTTAACAGTTTATTTCGAATTTTAAACCTTGGTCTAATGTAGCTGAAACAAAAAAGTGGAGTCCCAATTGAAATCGAAATCAAATAGCCTCAAGTTTTATCCCCCAAATTCCTTACCAGGACATTCAAAGTAGCCAGTGTTGCCATTCCTTCCCGAGTCACATAATCATTTGCAAGGAGTCGTGGAATTGAATTGAATAGATTATCATATTGACTGAGGCATGCCTGTGACAAACTTTTCCAGACGGGTTGATTGGTATAGGTCGTAGTAAATCAGATTCATTTTAAATCCTTCAACCTAGAGAAAGTAGAACATTAGATTGCTAGATCATAATAAAATTCTCTCCTTGGAATTCTTTTGAACTCGCAGAGTCAACTCATTGTCATAGGAATTGATGCACAAAAAAGAGGTTGATAATGAAAACAAATGGATAACAGTCCCATGGTTATCCTGAAACAATGGACAAAATAATATAGCTGCAATAAATTTTATTACTAATTCCTACTTATAAAATTCTTGTTGCAGTTTTTAAACAGCACAACTTTGTTTTGCTAAAAAAACTACCCAACTTGTAGAACACTATTTCTGCAAGTATGAAATGGGAATGCTATTTGCACACCTTTTTTTGACTGCTGCACTCTACCTCCATTGAAAATTACACAAAGCAGATGTGATTAATCTCCAATAAGATGTGCACCAATATGATTTTGCAAACTTAATGATATGTTAAAAGGGTTCATCCACCAATTACTTTTAATGTGGTTATGATGCGTTGCAACTGACGCAAGTCTATTCAACACCTTGGAATTCAGCCAATTATAGGGAATTGAATGGAGATTGCTAGATTACATACAATGAGAGAGTGAAAATTACCATCATTCTAGCATAGGCAGAGCCAATACGACCAGCTCCAATTACACCCACAGTCTGTCACCTCCAACGATGAACGGTTTTTTTCTAAAAATACATTAATAAATTAAATTTGACATTCAAAACATGTTATTTTTTAAAAAAAATTGTGAACATAACCAATTACAGAGCACTTATTGTATTCCAAACCACTAAAAAGAAATTGCAAGATTATACAGTAGTCATCAAAAAGAATTTCCAAGGGAAAACAATACTTGCACCAAACTACAAATAAATGACAGTTGGATTAGTAGAAGCAGATTGTCACATAAGAACAACAAAAACAAAGACCAAAAAATAGACACATAAAATTTGAATCTAGTACATAATTCTTAGATTATGTTTTTGTAATTTGTTAATTTCACGGAGTTCTTATAAATTTCAACTTATTTTATAGTCATGATGCTACAACAATGAAGATCTGAAGGTATTAACTGAAAGGAGGAGATCATGTGTCAAACCTACTTTAAAAGCATTATGTATGCACCTTTCTTGCTTAGAACAAGATTATGACCTAAAGATCTAAAATGATCCATTGGTTTAATAGACTTGGAGGATTAGTATTAAAATGGAATTGGTATTTGATCCGAGTATGACTCCTAGGTGTTCTTTAAAGAAATATTTATTCTAACCATTTTTTTTGTTTTGAAAATATAGAATTGAGCCATCATCGGATCCCTTTTGATCAACACCCTTTAATGTTCAAGAAGACAAATTTTTTGCTTGGTTTTATACTTAAGAAACTAGTAGGGACTATCCTATACTTTCTAGCTTGGGCTAGAACAATCTCTTCATGACTTAGGAAAAAATTGGGTAAGGGCTAAACAGAGTACAACAAGGATCGCTCTCTGAGGTCACTCAAGCGGTCTTGCTCTTCTAGGTCGATTTAAAATTTTATTTTCATTTCAGTGACCATCACCCTCCCACTATTCAAGCAATCATTCGCGAATTTATGTTTCTTGTTTACCAAGATTGTTCTTATTCTGTACCCATAAATAGGGAAAACCTTTCCCAACCTAGAATCTCTCATTTGTGAGCTGAATTCTTGCCTCTTAAACCTTAGAGATCAAAGAATACCATTTTGCAAATCTCATCCAACCTCATAGCTTAGAGAAGAACAATTTGATTGGTTGAAGACCAATCCCATTGGAAGTGTGCATACCGAGGTTTGTCAGTGTGTCATATGAATTCTCGAGGCCTAAATGATCCATTACGGTGGAAAATCTAAGTAAAGTTACCCAAAACATCGAAGATGCACTTTGGCAAAGAGGCTTATTGAAGGAGTGGAGCGTCTAACCAAGGTAGTGGTTGAGGTGTAAGACTTTAATACTTGTAAGCTGACATTGGATGTTAGATAACATATTGTAATTTGCTAATTTCGTGGAGTCCATTATAAATCTCAACCCTTTCCATGATCATAATGCTACTAAGTTGAAGATCCAAAAGCTTGATTGAAGGGAGGAGATCAAACGTCCCAACAATATCATTCAAACTCAGTATGCACCTTCATGCTTAGGACAAATGTAATGACCTAGACACCTAAGATGAATCCTTAGCTATTTTAACTTAAGATGATTAAGATAAAAATGGAATTGGAAGCAATGTAAGTATGACTCCTAGGTATTTTGAAAATAAAAATTGAGCGATTATCGGATCCCACTTGAGCAACACATTTTAGTGCTCAATAGGACAAGCTTTTTACTTGATTTTATACTTTAAAAACCATTAGGAACTAATCTATTCTCGCTCGAGCGGTCAGTGCTCCTAGTCAGAATTGAAACATGATTTTCATTCCAACAACAACTGCCCTATGACTGTCTTCCCACCAATTGAACAGTCATCTGCAAATTTGAGGTTTCTTATTCACTAAGAATACCCTTATTTCGGACCTAGATATATAAATAAGAAGAGTCTTTTCCACAGCTAGGTTAAGACTCTTATGGATTTCTATTAGAGAAAATACATCTTCTACCTAGAGAGCTTCCACCACTAACTTATATCTCTAATAACAAGGCTACAATTAGAGATTCTACCCAATCTCACAAATTATAATTGAAGATCTTGATGGTTTGACAGACCCATTGGTGTGTGCATGCTGGAAATCGTTAATGTGCCCAAGATTACTAGAGGCCTAGACGAACTGTGTGGTGGGGACTCCAAGTGAAGTTGTGCAAGACGTGGAAGGAAGGCCTTTCGTGGAGATACAACAAGGGAAGGAGCATCTAGCTATGGTATTGGTTAAGGTATAAGACTCAAGTTCTTGTATGTTGACTTTGTGAATAGTGGATTAGGTTTTGGTACGAGTTGTTTCCCACAATTTTCTTAAGGAAGATTTTTCACATCAATAAATCACTTTGTTTTATTTCTTACTTATTAATACAAACTTAAGATTGTTAGCATACATATGCACTGTGTGATTGTATGAATGATTGTTTGACATCTATTCAACCACAGTTGTGCATTGGGTTTGGGTTTTTGGGATTCCCAAGAGATTGTGTTTATGTGAATTAATTGAATATTAATCAACATCAATATTCATGGGTTTGAGGGATCGTGGTGATCGAAAGGGTTCTCATTATTAATTACCATATTTAATTGAAAAGAGGTAATTGTGGTCGAATAGATTTTAATTGTTAATCAATTGAGTTTAAATTTAAAAACCAATTCACCCCCCTAGATAAAGTGTCTGTTGCTCCATGTGCATAATTGCAAGAGAAGATCCACACGGGTTTCCCCTCCCGGAACAATAATTGATATTAGAACGTGGTTGCCCCGAGTTACATTAACACTTGTAGAGCTTATTCATAAACAATTCTTATTCATATGGCTCCCTGCCTTAGCTTTCAAGAATCTATTTCTCGTCGTGGAAAATGGATGAGAAGAATTGCGATCATTCTTGAAAATAAAGACTACTCCTCCTGGTAGTTGAAAGGAAATTCGCTTGCAAAAGCAATCCATTACTNAGTATGACTCCTAGGTATTTTGAAAATAAAAATTGAGCGATTATCGGATCCCACTTGAGCAACACATTTTAGTGCTCAATAGGACAAGCTTTTTACTTGATTTTATACTTTAAAAACCATTAGGAACTAATCTATTCTCGCTCGAGCGGTCAGTGCTCCTAGTCAGAATTGAAACATGATTTTCATTCCAACAACAACTGCCCTATGACTGTCTTCCCACCAATTGAACAGTCATCTGCAAATTTGAGGTTTCTTATTCACTAAGAATACCCTTATTTCGGACCTAGATATATAAATAAGAAGAGTCTTTTCCACAGCTAGGTTAAGACTCTTATGGATTTCTATTAGAGAAAATACATCTTCTACCTAGAGAGCTTCCACCACTAACTTATATCTCTAATAACAAGGCTACAATTAGAGATTCTACCCAATCTCACAAATTATAATTGAAGATCTTGATGGTTTGACAGACCCATTGGTGTGTGCATGCTGGAAATCGTTAATGTGCCCAAGATTACTAGAGGCCTAGACGAACTGTGTGGTGGGGACTCCAAGTGAAGTTGTGCAAGACGTGGAAGGAAGGCCTTTCGTGGAGATACAACAAGGGAAGGAGCATCTAGCTATGGTATTGGTTAAGGTATAAGACTCAAGTTCTTGTATGTTGACTTTGTGAATAGTGGATTAGGTTTTGGTACGAGTTGTTTCCCACAATTTTCTTAAGGAAGATTTTTCACATCAATAAATCACTTTGTTTTATTTCTTACTTATTAATACAAACTTAAGATTGTTAGCATACATATGCACTGTGTGATTGTATGAATGATTGTTTGACATCTATTCAACCACAGTTGTGCATTGGGTTTGGGTTTTTGGGATTCCCAAGAGATTGTGTTTATGTGAATTAATTGAATATTAATCAACATCAATATTCATGGGTTTGAGGGATCGTGGTGATCGAAAGGGTTCTCATTATTAATTACCATATTTAATTGAAAAGAGGTAATTGTGGTCGAATAGATTTTAATTGTTAATCAATTGAGTTTAAATTTAAAAACCAATTCACCCCCCTAGATAAAGTGTCTGTTGCTCCATGTGCATAATTGCAAGAGAAGATCCACACGGGTTTCCCCTCCCGGAACAATAATTGATATTAGAACGTGGTTGCCCCGAGTTACATTAACACTTGTAGAGCTTATTCATAAACAATTCTTATTCATATGGCTCCCTGCCTTAGCTTTCAAGAATCTATTTCTCGTCGTGGAAAATGGATGAGAAGAATTGCGATCATTCTTGAAAATAAAGACTACTCCTCCTGGTAGTTGAAAGGAAATTCGCTTGCAAAAGCAATCCATTACTGCATGAAAAGCGGACAACAAGTTCATCCCAAATATAACGTCGTACCCCTTCATATCTAACGTAATCAAATCGACAATCAACTCTTGCTCCCCAATGCGAAGCACACATTCTCTACACACCCTTGTAGTATCCACCCGTTCTCCCGTGGGCATGTCAATACTAAGGGCATGTTCCAGCTTCTCAAATCTCAATCCCAATTTCAAAGCATATGTAGTCCGTATAAATGAATGAGTCGTACCCGGATCAAATAAAATTTGGGCCCAAGAGTTGTAAAGAAGCACAATACCTTCCACTACGGCATTGGAGGCATCTTCCTCCAGTTGAGTCATAGCAAATACCCTTCCTCTGTGGGCACCATTCGGGGCCATAGCTCCTACGGGTCTCTGTGGTGGTGGCCTCTGTAGTGGTGGCTTGTTTGCTTACATTTGTCTGGTAGTTTGAGTGGTCCTGGGTGGAAGAGAGGGGCATTGATTTTTAAAGTGTCCAAACCCTCCACAAGCATAGCAGCGGCGCAGGTCGATGCCTATCCGCTTGGTGACTCCTCTAGCTCCTCCACTGTCTGTGGTGTCTGTCCGCTGGTCTGGTCTGGACGTCGGTAGGGTGCCGCCCGCTGTACTCCACTAGTACTAGTGCCTGTCCTAATTGGACCTC